TTGTTTGCAGCGTTTCTTTTCTGTTTCCATGATTTCTTTTTTGTTTGCAGCGTTTCTTTTTTGTTTGCAGCATTTCTTTTTCTTTGCAGTGTGTCCCTTGTGGGCCATCGTACGTATGGGATATTCGACAACCCAAAAATTGTTATGTAATAAAATATTGGCCAAAATTCAGTTCGTAGCAGCATACGGTACATATTTAACTCCAGTGTTATACAGTTACATATAAATACCTAGTTCCACGATGAGTTAGCCATTGTTGTAACGGTCTTTTAATTATATAATTATTTATAGTTAAAAAATATTTCATCTACTTGTACTTGCTGGTATTGTGTTATTTTTACACTATGCATGCTAGGCTAAATTTAGCTATGTATAATAGGCCTAGGCCCCTATAAGCTGGACTGGGAAGTGTGTAGAATTCCAATCCAAGCTGCGATCGTAGCCGTTTTATTCGAGCTTAAACATGTAGGGCCTACATGTACTAGGAAGTCGACCCCCGAATTTCGCGAATTAAATTTTCTTCCAAAGCATCGACTGATACTCCGAAAAATACGGTAAACATAAAATGGTGACGTTGCAACTGCAAAAATTCAGTTGCAACACGGGCAGGCTGTCTGGCATTTATTTTTTTAAAAGCGGTTAAAAAATCGATTATTTTGTGTTTATCAGAAGAAACATATGAATTACCGTAGCGGATGACGTACGGTGACTTTGAACTAAACCACAGGTGGGCAAAGTGCGGCCCAATGGCGATTTTTTGTGGCCCGCAAGCGATTTTTTTTTCCGTACGAAACATTTGCATGAAACTTCACTCGGGCCATCTCGGATTGACTCGAGTGAGTACGATACGAGGAACAAGAGCAGACACTTCGCAATGTCGTGACGCTCGAGTTTTACTATTATTGCTCTTTCTATGTTTTCCTACGGTAGGCCTATGAAATTTCACGGACTTATGTGATATACGTCACTGTGTAACTAACTGTGACCTTCTTGGATGTTATTAAATGTTAGTATATTATCTAAATCAACAACGGATAGTACCTCCTGTTATAAAGTGTAGATAGGTACAGTTATACCAAAGGCTAGAAAGAAAGAGGATAAACTATAGGCCTAAACTACAGGCTGAGGTCTTACCTAGGCCCCTCCTTAAACTAGGCCTAGGGACATAGGCTGACACAACAGTCACGCTTCACATACTGACATGGACTGAAATTTTGGGGGGAAAATGGGACAAAATTGAAGCATGAAATGAAAGATAGAGCGCATAAGAGAAATATTATTAAATAAATAATATACCATTCCGGCGTTATTGAACTTGTCCAAACTATCATTGTAATGTAATTAATGTTAAATAATAATAATAATAATAATAATAATAATAATAATAATAATAATAATAATAATAATAATAATAATAATAATAATAATTATAATAATAATTTCAGCATTATTTACCTTTGGCCTAAGCCTTATAATGAAGAACCTACAGATACTGTACTATTTACTAGGCCTATAAATAATAATCGCCCAAGGGAGAATACCTTTTGTGTTATTTCCCCTTAACGTCGTTTTTTTAATTGTTCTCTAATTCCTCCATTGTCTAAGTTCCCCTTAAGGTACAGGTAATAATAATAATAATTAATAATAATAATAATAATAATAATAATAATAATAATAATAATCATTTCAGCATTAATTACCTTGGCCTAAGGCTTGTAATGACGAACCTACAGATACTATTTACTAGGCCTATAAATAATAACCAACCCAAGGGGAATATCTTTTGTGTTATTTACCCTTAACGTCGTTTTTTTAAATTGTTCTCCAATTCCTCCATTGTCTAAGTTCCCCTTAACGTAAGGTAATAATAATAATAATAATAATAATAATAATAATAATAATATTAATTATTATTATTATTATTATTATTATTATTATTATTATTATTATTATTATTATTATTATTATTATCATTTCGGCATTACATGTAATTAACTTGGTCTAGCCTTGTAATCCAGAACCTGCCGATTACTATGCCTAATATTAATAACTAGCTCATTTTTACATTCATTTGGTGCTCTGCCATTTTGGCAGGTCTTATAGCATCCAGTATTTTAGAGCTGCCTATTCTCAGCTCTTCTCTTAATTTGAAAATAACTTTCATAACTAAAAAAATAAAATTGTCATAGTATGTAACTCAAGTTAAAATAATAATTACCAATAATAATAATAACAATAATAATAATAATATGAATAGTCATATAATATGATGATAATAATACCAATAATAACAATAACAACAACAACAATAATAATAATAATAATAATAATAATAATAATAATAATAATAATAATAATAATAATAATAATAATTTGTAGAGCGCATCATGCGAAAAAGCCTCTATGCGCTTGGTGATTGAGCTCTTTGATTTGGACATTTTGAGAAAAAAGAAAGTTGAAGTTATTTTATGAAACTAAAAAAACCTACTCCTTAAACTAACTAATCTCATTGCAGAATTCAGGAGGTCAAAATAACACTTTTCATTACTCGTGCAGCTTAATCAAATATTATATGTCAATTTAAACGACCCATTGGTATTATTAACGTGGTAACATCAATGTATTTTTAAAAATTAGACAGCGACGTTCTCTCAGAATTTGTTCTGTAGACGTTTATCTGTTGATGACCTTTTGACCTCCTGAATTCTGCAATGAGATTTTCGGGTCGATTCAGCCGAGACGGCCCGAGTGGAGTTTCATGTAAATGTTTCGTACGGAAAAAAAATCGCGGCCCGGAAATAGAAATTAAAAACCCTATGTGTGCGGCCCGCCAAGCAACATTGGCTAGAAAACACCTTGTTTTTCTCGGCGCGACACCGATCATTATGTAAAAAGTCATACAACATTAAAACTCAGGATAAAGTGGTGTAAAGCAGTGCTTGGAGTTTGGAAGGTCACTGGAGACATCAAACTTTGGGTGCGGCCCTCGAATATTCACTTTGGCCCTCTGACCGATTTTTATGCCCACCCTCGAACTAAACTATTCCTATACAAGGGTATAGTGGGCTAATACTTCTAATGTGTCACCAAGTAGGAGACAGCTTAATGGTCCCCTTGCACTCTACGTCAGAAGTGTGTCAATGTCTATACCGGATATAAATGTAAAAACAATAAAAAGACGCGCGATGTACATAATTGAAGGTGGACTTGCGGAACACAAATTTATTAAAATAAATAAATACAGTAGAACCCCTCCTTTGGGACACCTAATTAAGGGAACACTTTTCCGTGAAACAAGGGGAAATATATACCGCAACCCAATCATGGTGAGGCTGAGGTGGTACAGAGCCTCTGACTCTGAAAGTCCCTCCTTACC